AAACCCACTCCTCCACGCGCCTGGGGCTCCGGCCCCTCAGAGCGGGAGGCCGCCTCCTCCTCCCCTCTCCCACAGCAGAGGTCGTGCGAGGTGATGAGGCTGGCGCCCCCGCGCCCTGCAGAGGCCAGCAGGGTCCAGTTACCTGCCTGGGGAGGGAGGATGAGAGGGGGTCCCCGCTGAACGGCTGCGGCCAGCAGGCGAAGGGGCACACGGAGGACTCTGTTCCCCAGCGCGCTAAGCCCCGAGACTGAAATAACTGCTGACTGGCCCCCGGGCTGGGCCGGCTCTGGCTGGCCTTCCCCTTCCTCCGGTCCTGGGCAGGCCGGGGTCACAGGACGGCACCCCGGCTTGGAAGAAAGTCTCTTTTCCAGGTGGGACATGTGGGCCTCAGATGAGGGCCGCCCCCAAAGATCAGAAAGTCCAGCTTGGGGCTCGGCCCAGCCCCTCTGCAGCTCTCCACCCCCAGGCCTTCTCCAGCCCCTCCAGCCCCAGGGAGCGAGTGCTTAATTACTCCGTCACTCTATCCCTGCTTGGCCAGGCCGCTAAGCCCAAACATCTGGCCCTGGGGCCCACGGCCAGGGTGGTGGCCAGCCCCCCTCACCCCCCACTGCTGGCCCTGACCCGGGCCCTGACCCTGACCCCTCCCAAGGGACAGCTGAGCTCCATCCTCTGCCTGGCAGCCTGCAGCCAGCCCAGGACAGCTCACAGGCCCCGGAGGTCCAACAAAGCAGAAAACAGCGCAATCTCAGCGCCCGGCCACCACTCACACAGACGTGCTCGCACACGCACACGCACACGCACACGGTCACTAGGAACAGGGCGGACACGGGCATGAACAGACATGTGCCTGTCATTTTGCAGGCCATATGACTATTGACACAGCAAACCCCAAAGAAGCCAGCAGGCGGACGGGGAGTGCCACAGAGGCCGGGTGCTGGTGGCTCCTATCAAGGCGTGTCCTCCCCTCTTTGTACCTGGAAGGGGGACCTGTGGGCCAGCAGCGCCATCGGCTGCACCCAGGGAGCTGGTTAGACGTGCAGTTGCAGGCCCTACCCTAGACCTGCAGATTCAGTCTTTATTTTCTTTTAAGTTTTTGCCATAGGGCATGTGTGCTCTCTGGAGAGAGACAGTGAGGGGGGATGGCCACACCACAATCCCTTCTCCTCCATTCTCCAACAGGGATCCTGGGTGCCCAGTGTGGACGGTGCAGTCGCGCTTCTCCCTGCAGCTCAGGCTGGGCACAGGTGTGTCCTCACGGCCAAATGAATGGAGATGCACTCCACATGCTCAAACCTGCCCGTCATAACGGCTCTCCACGCATCTGGGAGCCGGCCTGACCCTCCCCACGGTCTCCCTTCAAACGTTTTCCCCGCCGCCCTTCAAAAGAGACCCGGACCGGGAACCAGCAGTTAGCATAATGGCTATGTCGCTGGACTCCCACGTAGTCGACCGCGGTTTGTGTCCCGGACCCGGTGGCTTAAAACTCACGCCGGGCGCGTGTGCATGCGTGCCCAAGATCCCGAGAGGAGAATGGAGGAGAAGGGATTGCAGCATGGCCATCCCCTCTGGGGGGTGGTTTCTCGCTTTCTGTCTCTATGTCTCTCTCTGTCTGGCGAGCGCACGTGCCCTACAGTGAAAATCTCTCAAAA